TAGGCGGCCCATTCCTCCCCTGAGGGTCCTTGCAGTGTCAGAGCAAAGAAAGAAAAGAGGGAGAGAGAAAGTGTGTTGCAGTTCAGAATGTCTTCAGCCTGCTCAGTATTAAACTCAGTGAAAACAAGCCTCCCTCAGAGTTTAGCCACAGTGCAACTACGCAGGTAGACTGTGGAGCACAGGACCGCTCATTGAGGAAACACTCCCATGTGGCAAGGAAGGGGAGGTAAAAGTAAGAGGGACGATAAAAATGATAAGCTGCCAACCCACACTTAAACTAATATTTATGTACCATACTTACAGCAAGGATAAATGTTGAGCATTGGTTGGTTTTGGTTTTCCCAAAATAAGGAAAGTCAGTCGAGGAGGAAGAATGTTTGGAAGGTTGTTGATTGCCTTTATCGGAATAAATAAAGCTCATATGATTGTGACTGCAAATCCTATTATACTGGTGATATATTTGTGATATTATTAGTTTGTTAATATTGATTATGGGGTTCGTATAGCCTAATATTTTTTTTTTTAAGAGAACTCTCCAATATTTGCTTTTTGTTAAATATTGGATAATTTATCCTCTTTTGGGCTGTTTTATATATGCATAAAGTATACAATTGACTAAAATGTTTTTCTTATTGGCACCCCCCTCTGTATTAGTGTTTGGGAGATGTGTTTTTCAGAACCAAGACCCTGGTGAAGAACTGCATCGTCATCGTCGACAGCCTTCCCTACAGGCAGTGATATGAGGCTCACTACGCCACTCCTCTGGGACGCAAGAAGGGAGCCAAGCTGTCACCCGAGGAGGAAGAGGTCCTGAACAAGAAGAGGTCAAAGAGGACCCAGAAGAAGTACGATTGATGGGAGATGACACTGACTTGGCTGAAACTTTCGTTCGTTTCATTCGTACAGGAACAAATGACACAGCAGTCAAAAGTACAGCGCGTTCCATGTTAAATATTGATGAGGGAAGTTTGTGGGGGAACAAGTGCATACAGGGCCTGTAACCCATATTAATCTTTCACAACAACACTGAGACCAGACATCAAGATCTATTATTATCTCTTTGACCTCTCTGGCCTCTCTGGCCAAACGCGCTGATTCTCAACGCGTTTGGCTGCTCTGACTGATTCAACCCACAGATTCAGTTAGAGATCAATGTAAAATGTTTATTGTACATCCAAGGCTTTCGTCAGGAGAGTACAGACTGTGTCACACTGAAAACATAATTTATCGATTCTATACAGCTTATTATTCAGACAATGCAGTATCCCTAAGAAACCATGTTGCATTGTGATGTATTATGTGTACTAAAGGATGAAGACAGTATAACCATAACCATAAATATGTGGCTGTCAGACATATGTTACATGACATGAGTTATTATCAGAATACAACAGTATTATATGATTTAAGATTATATGAATGTAGATGACGTGAACACTGTATTTATATTAAGTTCAAACATGAAAGTTCAGTAAGCACAAAGATAAATGAGTGTCAGAGTGAGTGAATGTTCAGAGGATTCAGTTGAGACCACACAGCTGGCTCATAATTTCTCCCCATCAGCGAAAAAAACAAAATGCTTAAAGTGAAGTTTATTCATCACCACCCGTTTATATTGCAATTAAGGGGGACTCCGCTAAATACCCCCATATAAATAACAATACATACTTACGGTTTATAATGAATTGTGGTTTTGGCAAACACATCAAAGCTTTCATTACAGTTTTTTTTATTTCTTACATGATGTGGCAGAGGCAGTGCAGATATATTTAGGTTTTCTCAGTTAGAAACAGTTTTTTTTTAAAGATGAGGAGTAGAATTTCTGTTTCAGACTTCAAATATTACTCATGATTTCTAATGTCATTTACAGAGTGGCTACTTTTAATACATAAACTAAAAGATTTTGTAAGTGAATGAAATAACAGGAACAATTTTAAATGTCAGCAGACGTAAGAAGGCTTATCATTTGTATTTATTTGGGTTAAAGCTTATTACATGTTAATCCCCTGTGATACAAGACATATATATTTATTTTAGAACACATACCTTATATTGCATTGGTGTTCCTTAATTGGAGAACTCACTGTCAAACATTTCTTATTGGCTTATAAGTAATTCTCCCCTGAGTTTGGCAGCGATCTTGTAATCTAAAGGCTTCAGTGTTAAACCATAGGAGCAGTTTAAAGACCGGTCCTCATTGGCACATATCTCAAAGCTACACTGGTGGAGTAGAATTGCAAAGAACAAAAATATCTCGACTTTGGCAATCTGGTCCCCAATACATCTTCTCTTCCCTGCTGAGAAGATCATAACATTGTTGGTGAGATCCTTGTCTAGGGAGCCGTTTTCATCTAGGAAGCGTGAGGGGTCAAAGATATGTGGATCCTTCCACATCAGGGGGTCATGATTGATGGACCACTGATTGATGAAGACCACCGTGTCTTTGGGGATGTGGAGACCTTCGATAGTGACGTCTGAGGTTGTCGAGTGGGGGATGGTGACGGGGACAAAGCTTGTGAAGCGCATGGTCTCGTAGATGAAGGCGTCCAGGTATGCCAGGCTGCTTCTGTCCTCGACAGATGGCAGCCTGTTTCGCCCCACCACCTTGTCAATGAGCTTATGGAGTTTGGTTTGTATTTCAGGGTGTTTTGCCAGCAGAAGGAGAATCCAGTGGAGAGCAGTGGAGATGGTATCCAGACCTGCACCAATCAGATCTGATACAGTCCCCTCTGCGTGGCCTTTGGTGAGTCCATTGTCACTGTCAGCCTTCTCAATGACACCAATAATGGCATCACTCATATCCCTTGTTACTTCTTGATCAAATGTCTCTCTGTGCTCCTCCACCTTGTGCTGGACAAACCCAAAGAACTCTTGGTTCAGGACTTTGAAGTTCTTGAACATCCTTCGGACTGGATTAGGGAAAGACTGAAGCCATGGCATCACATCTACCAAGCTGCCAGCCCCTACTGTCTGTCCAAACTTATCTACCTTTTGTAACAAGGCCCTAAACTCAACATCATCATGTCCATAACGTTTTCCAAAGCATAAGGCACAAATCACATTAGCTGCAGCTACTGTCAGCTCATGAGCGGGGTTGAAATGCTGGCCCTGAGCACTGAGTTTAAGGAAAATCTCAACTAGCTCTGTGGCTTCAGCCACAATTTGCTGCTCAAAGGCTTTTTTGGTCTGGCTGTTGGCAGATGAGAATGCTCTGATCGTTGATTGAGCAATTTTCCTGTGCATCTTCCACTGTTTGCTGTAACTGCTGAAAGTCAGACTTTTCCCCCCTGAGACAGTCTGGAAAGAGACAAAGTTGGGTCTGCCTGCAAACTCTGTGCTGTGCTGTATGAGAGCCTGACGTATAGCCCTGTCTCCATTCAGAACCACAATATCACTGCAGCCTAGTCGTATCTGGTACACGTTGCCGTACTTTTTGGCTAGCTTGGCAAAGGTGATGTGAGGCATTTGGCCCAGCTGCATGGCGTTGCCCACCACAGGCCAGGCGAAAGGTCCCGGCAGTCTTCTCTTGAGCCGGAGGTTCCTGACCCACAGACAGGCTTCCAGACAGAAGAGGAAAACGAAGAAGACAACCAGAGCGGGCTGGACCTGTCCACTCCATTCCCTGATGATGCTGCTGCCCTTCACACCAAACTCTCCGTCCATTTGAGCCATTGTGTTATCCTGTAGTTTGTCTATCATCCACTGTGTCCAATAAAAAGGCAGTTTTCACAAAAAACGGGAAACCGTTTCAAGTGGTCCCTCTTTGCACAGGATCAAATACATTTAAATTATTTGTCTTCTCATCCTCTATCATAATCAGACTGACAAAATAGCCATTCCAAAAAGAAGGACTTCAAGCAGCACTCACATGCTGTCTCACCCCTCGTCTACAGAAGCTAGTGAGAAGGGCTCGATCAGGTTCAAGCCTTAACACTTCGCTTATATGTATCTCTATGGTGGGAGGGGTCAGCGACTCAGGTTTTTTATTATCTCTCCCCTCCCATTTTGACCACAGCCTGCAGACCTTAGTCCTATTCCCACTCAGGCCTCCTGCCAGAAGCGTCTCTTGCAGGATGACGGAAAAGGAGAGCAGCTACTTAATAGGCCCTGATGCCAAAAACTACAGATTTACAGTTTAATAGCCAAAGAACATAACAGATTCATGACCATTTTTAAAAGATAAACAACTCGACATACCATATGTGGCCTGAACGGTTCTTGTCACAAAATATCATATATTAATATATATATTTATAAATTTTAAAAATGATGGTAGCATGATTTGGTTGCATGTGATAGTCGGGCTGCGTGGAAGCATATAGTGAAAGTAATGGACAATAAGCTGGAGCTGATTGTTTTTTCCACCGGGGTAGGTGACTTTGTTGTTTCCTATGGACTTTCCGTGGCCATTTTAAACATGACTTGGTTTCTGTTATTTACAGCCAAGCTGTTAATTATAACCATACAGGGAAAAAGGCTCTGGGATATCACCATGAAAGCTGTGGGTTTCAGATACAAACACTGAACAGATACAAACAGCACGATTTATTATGTTCTATAAATAAAATATATACAACGTTATTGTTGGAATAATAACCCTTTAAACAAAGGTCACTGAGATAATGTAGCTGTTAGGGTTGTGGCTACATCTAAATAGTTTTAAAGAGAATTCAGATGAGAGGAGTTTAGCTATAAATCTGCTTGTGTGGGTGCTTGTGCAACAAAAGGAAGAACTTAAAAAAACATCAGCTTGGGTTTAAGTGATATTCAGCCACATAACAAATATTCCAGAGGTTTCTATTTTTGTAACAATGAGTAATGACAGACACCTAAACAATGGTGGTGCTTAATATCACATACACTAGCTAAAAATAACTTTGAGACTGAGAAAGTAGTTAGACAGAGATATACACCAGGCTTAGTGGTTTAAAGGAATATTGTGAGATTTTAGTTTCCTCTAAAATTCTGAAGGCTAAATTGACAATTACGCTGGACACGTGGACCATTGACATTTCACTTTATTAATTTCAGATATAGCTTATTTTTCAACTTTTCCATCATATAAAATCAACACATTCATAACAAGATATCTGCTATGATGAATGCTTAAACCTCCAAGGCTGTCTGACTTTAATGTGTTGCCTTGACACAGGCAGAGGAACACATCCCTTGTGTATTGTAACATCAATTCCTGAATTCAGAGGCTTAAAGAGAGTGCTGTGACATCCATGTACATCCATCAACTTTCACAAAGTTACTTAGTAAACAAACATGTTTTTGAGAATGCCTCTTGAGTGACAGAAATTTGCTGCACATGTGTTTTTGTTGTAGTGATGAGACTTGTGTGTTTGACATTGGGTAGCTGCAGTGCTTGTACAGTAAAACTGAAACCCTGGGTGCATAAAGTTTGTGACGTCTTCATGGTTCATGACAATGTCTCTTCTTCATCCTTAAGACTGTGATGGATGTCCCTTGATGAAAGAATTCCTCCTTCACGAACATGCCAGCTTTTTCTTTTTACACTTTGATCAGCATTATTTGTTTAATGTGTTCATATGCTTTGAGTACAGTAGATAGTGAAATACATAACATTTCATTACATTTATTGTCATACCTGAAATATGAAATTATAAAAAAATATTTTATAACTGCTTTACGTGGCAAAGGTTAAATATATTCTTACATATTACAATTGAGAACAATGAGTCATCAAGTGGCTTTATAACATTCACAAGAATTTCATACACAGTTATATTAGTTTAAATTGACATTAAAAGTAAGTAGCTAAATCCCGTACACACATCATACATGTACATGCTCAATAGTGGATGTGAAACACAACTCAGAATTATGTACAAAATCTGATCAAGTATAGAATATTTTGAGAAGCAGAAATTTAATACTTTTGCCCTGATCCCAACAGTCCACAACCTTGAATTCTACCTGTAGTTATCATTATATCTTTTAAATCAGCCCTGCACCAACAATACTTCAAATACAGTCCATGTTAAGATATCCATTAAATATGATTATTAAATATGAAAATCTGGCAACAGTAGGATTTAGTGCAGGTATTGTATGTTGATACTTACTGTTAAATGTCATTGGTGGGGAAGTGTTTGCTGGCCTTGGGCCACAGTACTGGGACATGCTGTTCATGCTGGGGAAACTAAGCCAAGCAGCTTTCCCCTGAGCTTGGCATTGACACAGAATCGGAGGGGTTTCAGTGAGAGCCCATAGGAGCAATCAAGAGTGAGGGACTCAGAGGGGTCGCACTCAAAGCTACACTGGTGCAGCAAGGTGGCTGTGAATAAAAACACCTCCACCTTGGCAATCTGGTCACCGATGCAGCGTCTTTTACCCAGTGAGAAAATCATCACGCCGTTGGTTATGTCCTTATCGAGGGCCCCGTTTTCATCAAGGAAGCGTGAGGGGTCAAAGATATGTGGATCCTTCCACTTCAGAGGGTCATGGTTGACAGACCACTGATTGATGAAGACCACTGTGTCTTTGGGAATGTGGAGACCTTCAATAGTAACGTCTGAGGTTGTGGAGTGTGGGATGGTGACGGGGACGAAGCTGGTGAAGCGCATGGTCTCATAGATGAAGGCATCCAGGTATGCCAGGCTGCTTCTGTCCTCAACTGATGGCAGTCTGTCTTGGCCTACTACTTTGTCTATGAGCTCGTGAAGTTTGGCTTGCATGTCTGGGTGTTTGACCAGAAGCAAGATGATCCACTGCATGACAGTTGACACAGTGTCCTGACCTGCTCCAATCAGATCTGTGACTGTTGCTTCGACAAACTCTTTGGTCAGTCCGCTGTCCTTCCCGTGTTCGATCACATTGATGATGGCGTCGCTCATGTCCCGGGTCACATCAGGGTTGAACGACTCTCTGTGCTGCACCACTTTATCTTTCACAAAGGCAAAAAACTCCTCGTTGAGATTTTTGAAGTTTTCATAGACACTGCGGACTGGGTTAGGGAAGGACTGAAGCCAAGGCATGACATCTACCAAGCTACCTGCCCCTACTGTCTCTCCAAACTTGTTCACCTTTTTTAACAGGGTCCTGAACTCCAGGTCCTCATGTCCGTATCGCCTCCCAAAGCAGAGAGCACACACGATATTAGAAGCAGCTACTGTAAATTCATGAGCAGGGTCAAAGTACCGCCCATCAGTGCTGTTGCGCAAAAATGCCTGCACCAGTTCCATGGCCTCAGCTGTAATATGTTGCTCAAAGGCTCGTTTGGTCTGACTGTTCGCAGAGGAAAAGGCTCTGAGGCTGGACTGGGCTATTTTCCTGTGCGCTTTCCACTGTTTGCCGTAATTAGTAAATGTCATACTTCTGCCTCCAGAGATCATCTGGAAAGAGACAAAATTGGGTCTGCCTGCAAACTCTGTGCTGTGCTGTATGAGAGCCTGACGTATAGCCCTGTCTCCATTCAGAACCACAATATCACTGCAGCCTAGTCGTATCTGGTACACGTTGCCGTACTTTTTGGCTAGCTTGGCAAAGGTGATGTGAGGCATTTGGCCCAGCTGCATGGCATTGCCCACCACAGGCCAGGCGAAAGGTCCCGGCAGTCTTTTCTTGAGCCGGAGGTTCCTGACCCACAGACAGGCTTCCAGACAGAAGAGGAAAACGAAGGAGGCAACCAGAGCGGGCTGGACCTGTCCACTCCATTCCCTGATGATGCTGCTGCCCTTCACACCAAACTCAGTGTCCAGTGCCATTGTGACAAATTTTCTATACACTTGTTCCTTTAAAAAAAAAAAAAAAAAAATCTTTTTAACAAAGTCTGTTTAGTTGTTGTATTTTTGGAAGGGGAAAAAATCAACAAGGTTCTTGTATATCCATATCACATGATAAAAAACATTTAAGATATGTCAATTAAATGCCTGTGAAGTCATAATGATAAAAACCTAAAATGACTGACAGAAGCAGTGCGTTATGGTGAAGTTTTTGGTCTTTAGTCAGTCTTTTCATCCAGATTTAAGGCTTATGTGCCTGCTTTTTGCTTCACTCCAGCGTCTTATATGTTTTGCAGTTGGTGGGCAGGGCTCGGGGTAACTTTCATACTCCTCCCATTGTGGTAGCCCTGCAGACCCCACTATATTATCTCCCTGTTGTCTGTCGCTGTCGGAGGCGCGCGCCTGTGAGCGTCGGCGACACCGGGAGCGTGCAGCGTGATCGAAGCGCCCACTGCAGAGCAACTGGTGACCGATTCAGTAGGGAAACGTGTCGAGCCAATTTGCTTTACTAATTGAAGGACTGGCAGAGTTTTGCACATTTCAAAGTGTATCTTTCTAACATGATTTATTCTCTGGCTGCAGAAGACCCGACGGGCGCACTTTGACTAGAAAACAAAAAAGTGTTTGCATACGGTTTGTCCAACTCTAGACTGACTTTATGCTTTAAGTACATTTGTGCAAAAATCTATTTAAGCGTGAACGTGACATTATTTATTTATTCAGCTGATTAGAGTGTATTTTAATATGCTTAAAAGTTGTTTCTGCATGCTTCAGTAGGGTACCAGTTAAATGCATCCTCTGCTTGGAAAGTTGGAGTTGGAGCAGATCAGTGTGCAGCAGCGTGTGTTTAATGACATGCTTCAATATATGTTTGGTCTATAACGATTCATTCAGTGATTTCAAACGCCTGTGTTGTCATTCCCTCTAATTCTAACTCCAAAAGTCCTGCAGTTTGATTGTAGCAAAGGTTCATTTTGTTTGTTTGTTAGAAAAAATAAAAGTGTCAGTGAAAGTTGCGCACCCGGCTCAAAAAAGTCCGAGCCGACCGCATTTTATACAGCACTTAAACGTTTTATTTGATTTAAACAGCTATAACATCATAAAAAAATCTGTCATTCATTTCAAAGTCGTAGAATTAACACGGAAGATACTAAACTGTTTTAAAGACAGACAAATCACACATCAGATAGGCTTTAATAGCAGATTGTAAAATATCACATTTGTAAATATCAAGATGAGCTAAATGATTCTGATATAAATATATATATATATATATATATATATATATATATATATATATATATATATATATATGTGTGTGTTAAAATCATATATTTGAGCTTTCTCTCTTGAATCTTTTCTTTCTTGATTTCTTTCTTTCTTTCTTTCTTTCTTTCTTTCTTTCTTTCAGACTTATTTTTTATCTGAGCGTCTGACAGTGGCAGAAAATCTCACAGAACAAACTAGCACAATAAACTCAGTGTGGACAAGCTATGAAATATTGATACTTGAACACTGGTGGTGAACACATAAACTGCAGTTTTGCATGACACACTAGGTTACATCATACCACAACAAACTTCAGGTGGCCCCCCTTAACAGCGGTTCTTCTTTCAAATTACAGTCCCCCACAAATATGGGGGCAGTTCAGGAAGAAACTGGCCTTAAGTAATAAATCACATGCTCTGTGTTTTTATGGTTTACGCAATCATGTTAGACATAAGGCAGATAGTCTTGTTCTCAAATGTTCTGTCAGATAGATAGATAGATAGATAGATAGATAGATAGATAGATAGATAGATAGATAGATAGATAGATAGATAGATAGATAGACCATCATTATAAATAATAAGTTGTTCTGTTCATTCTTTTAAACCTTCAGTTCAAGGTGATGTAATTTCCCAAGGCAAAATTCTCTTCGCTTCTCTGTGCGGAAGACGAAATTTGTTTCTTGTTTTCCCACCAACAGAAGTTTATTTTTGCAGGGAGGTAATGACCCTAATTGAAGGAGCTAAAACATTTCCGAAGTAAGGCATCAAGTCGGAGACAGAAACTGCACTGCCCCACAAGCACAGTCCGTCATTATCAGCAGCAGAGGAGGAGGAGGAGGAGGAGTGGTGAGGAGTGGAGGAGCACGACGGCAGAATGTTGAAAATGATATCTAATTGACTTTTTAAAAATGAGTTTTACAGCAGTTATTATATATATGCACATCATTTTACATGACACTGAGGTACGAGTCCATTAAGAGCCCCATTAAAAAAAGGAGGCAGGATAAGGTATTATATATACAAGTTAAAGTCATGCAGCACGTATATCTCATTAATCAAATAGAACATTAACCATGCACTGCCTGTATATTTCACCTTGCTTCTGTGGCAGAAAATGTTTTATACCCTTAGATTAAGTAACTGAAAGTTACACTTTTTAACCATACACCCACAAACTGTCATATATAAAAACTTTTGATTTAATAAACTGATAAATAACAGGTCTTGTAGGCACAGCATGCTTATATTGTGAAAACGATCAGAAAGGCAACAATAAAAGTAACTTAAGTGTAACTACATTATGTGTTATGTGTCATTCTTGCATAATAATGGTCCTTAAGCAGCCTTTTACAGATGTCGAGAGTTTTGCTGGTTCAGAGCAGTGCCTGAGAGCTGTTTGTCTTGAGAAATGTGGTGTGGCTGAGCACCAAAGCCTCCAGAATGATTCCTCGGTTAACCAAAGACATAGCAATGTCTTCGAATACACTGCCTGCACTGGGGATGACTGTTTCTTCTCTCCTCTGTTCCTATAGGGGGAATCCCCCCTCCCCTCAACTTCCACCTCCACCACCACTACCACCTCCCCCTCCTCCTCCTCCTCGCCTGAGTCTGCTCCACATACACATGTGGCCACTTGCATCCCCATCACGCTAATCAGAGCCAGGTTTGTGGCTGAGGAAGGGGGTGGTTGGGTGGCGGGGTGCAGTTTGTGTGTATGTGTGTGGGAGAGGGTGGAGGCCCGGGTTGGAGAGGGGGTGTCGTGTGTGCGTTTTGCGTGTGGCTGCTGTGTTTGCCTGTGATTACCCCTTGTAACCTGGCTGTGAAAGGTTGGCCCTGACCCTGCGTTGACTCTGGCTGAGGGGGGAGTAGTCAGAGGGGATTTGGGGCTGGGGGGGGAAGGGGGGGAAGGGGGGGTGTCTATATGCCACTGCATGTCATGTGCTGGCGGGTGGGCGCTCGTTGTGTGGAGACAGGACCAATGGTAGACCAGGCTGCCCCGGCTCTGGAGCTAATCATTGTTTACTAGTCTCATTTCCACTTCTCAGTGAGCTACTGTCACGCACAGCACCAACAGGGAGGAAGGAAGAGGGAAGGGGGGGTAGGGGTTTGGGGGTGTGAGGGAAGGAGGGGGGGCAGCAGGGAGAGGAAAGCCAGGGGTCCAACAGGCAGTTGGGGAACTGGTGGGACTTGGGAAAGGGAAGAGCAGAGGGAACGCAGGAATTTGAGTGAAGATTTCAGTTGTTTTTTTTTCCCCTGAGAGAACAAAGGTGAGCCAAGACTGAAAAAGCAGCAGCCAAAAACAACCCGACAAACCAGTAAACAGACCAACAAAAACATCCTCTGGGTCCACGCCATCTCGGGCGGCCAGGAGGTGACCACCGGACATTGCTAGTTAGAGATGGTGATGTTTGAAATGAGAGTGTTTTGCTCGCCAGACCACAATATGAGGAAAGAGAGATACTTGGAAAAAGTGTCACTGTCAGACCTGATTGTTGTTTGTGTGTAAAAAGCCTGAGAAAAAACAAGCAATAGCACAAGTCACATCAATGTGGAGATACAACCCAGAGATACCAAATGGGCCGGTGGTTAAAGTGGTATAAGTAAGCAGTATTTTCACATATATACACACCAAAAAGATACATTTCAACTCTAGACTATTGGGTCAAGGCCAAATCTTAGAGGTCATCTTCAGAAACTGAAAAGGAGGACAATCCCAGTTCGCCTAAGTTCTACAGAGTGTTTCAGCATCTTTCACCTCATTGTTTTGGTTTTCCTGCCCTCAGATTTATTGTTGCAGTTCACTTGTGTCTGCATCGTTTCTAGCAGCAGCTGCAGCCGGCTCTCAGATAAACCCACCGCATGCTACCTGGCCAGCACTAAACAGCAGACAAAGACTCAGATATTTCTCACAGGAGTTGGTGGAAATCAAAAGGAGAGGTGGCCACACTGGTGAATGTAAACAAATGAAAGCTAATGTTGTTCTTTGTCTTCTGGATCTGAAACTAGGAAACTGTTTAACACATTCTCCATAGCAACATGATAATATGGTCAAAAACATCAATTAATGCAGGTTTACCATTGATTTATTTTTTGTTCAAAACACTGCTTTAGAATATATAAAATGATTGACTATAATACAAAAGTAGAACACTGATGATCTTATCCAGCACTGGAAGAGTTAAAAGGGAAAACACTGTGCTACAGTTTCAAACATACTTTTGGAAAATGTCTAAATCCATGCTTGGTATGAATTGTGGTCCAAAATCATATTTGATATTGTAAGAAAAGAAGGCTAAGTAAAAAACGACAAAGCATGTATAGACTATGAGCATTCTGCATGTATCGTGTTACATACATTTCACCACATACAGCACAATGAACCCCAGGCACACAACACTAGATTGAATTATTGAGAATTCAATTTCTTGTTTGTGGATTTGTCCTCCACAGTTTCACTTGTCTAAAAGGCTGTTACACAATGAAAAGAGTCCATAGTGAAGCACAGAAGACCTGATGGAAGATGGGGTAAGTTACAGTAACACAGCAGGTCCAATGTCCTGTGTTCATTTAGATTTGGAGTCAAAGAAAGAAAATATCATTCCAAGGAATCTGGTTATCTTTGATAGCTCCGTTGTGTTAGACCTGCTGTGCCCAGAGATGTGTTGCTGTAGGCAATATCAAACAGCCCACATAAAAGAGCAGAGCGCTACTTTTGGAGAATGCTTTCCTGGAATGATTTAAGGTCCTTGGTTAAACCATGAAAACAGGGCTTTAGACCCTTCCTAAAACTATGATTTTTAACCTTAGCACAATATTTTCTCCACACACTACACTTTCATGTGGTCCTGTAGTTGAATATAGCAGCAACGTGTTCGTGGTTAGAGGTTTGATTCAATCCAGTGACCACCCACGCTGCACATTTTTCACACTTTTAATACTGCGTAATATTGATGAACTCATCAAAAGGGAAACATTAATGTAAAAAACATAAT